TATCGAGAAAAAAAATTTAATTTGATAAAATAAGGAAATAAGTTCAGCCCGGAAGGAGTTTAACACATTCGCCTCCTGATATATGGAATATATTTTTTTATATCTCCTCTGTATACACTGCCTGCCAACATCACTAGCTTAGGGATAGCGGCAACGCGTGACTTTGATTCCATCGCGATATTTCTCTCTTGATGAGCATAAAACCACCACAATATCCATTATTTTTTTCAGCGAATGAAAAAAGAAAAGTATAACTTGGTCAACAAGAAGGCTGCTATAACAGTAAATAATTCAAGACATACGTTCTTAATACTTGTCGAAAAATGCAAACAGATGAACAAATTACTGGCAAATAATCAAAGAAAATGTATCAAATGCACAACAAAATTACTACATATTTTTGATAGGCCATTATAAAATGTCAGGTGACAATGTTGATACCATTCGTCCCTGGATATTCCTGACCGATCTCTTCCTTGTTGAAGATAATATCCTTCACTGCGATATGTTGATAAACATTTCCTTGTATAAGCCTTCCCTGTTTATCAAGTCATGGCCTTGGTGACGTCAAATAGCGAAGCTATATATAGATAGTATATAATGCTTGATAGTCATCAAGCATTTACGCTTTTAAAGAATTGTTTCGCTCTACCTAAACTCCAGTACGTCCTACGTGCGTCTCCTGCATATACGCGGGTAGGTGTTTTGGAGCGGTTCGATGAGGTGTTGGTTTCTGCCCTCTCGACCATCACCAATGTCAGCTTCGAGCGCGAATCTCTTGAACAAGCTGTGTTGCCGGTCCGGCTGGGAGGCCTGGGTATCCGTATGTCAAAGGACATCGCGCTCCCTGACATTGACATGAAACCATTCCCTGTTTTTAATTAATAAAATCAATTCCTTTTTTTTTTGTTGGAATGGTGAGTGTGGGAGGCCTTTAAAAAAAAAACAAAAAAAAAACAAAAAAAAAGAGTATATAAGCTCTGTTTCAGGCGATTAATTTCAGTCTTGGGCCGAGAACAGTCGTGTGTAAGCCCGTACTCCTGCCCATATCAATCAGGACAGTAACCCTAAATTAACGTCAGAGTAGAAGACCATATACTCTAGACATATCCTTATCTCAACTGGATGCCGAAGACATCAATGTTACAGCTCCAATTTATGAACTTAGATTATCCGTAACTGTAAGCCGAACTTTAATCTTAAATAATATTATATTCTCATTTACGCTGTTGTTGTTGTTAATTGCCCGGGACCGCTGCTCGGCGGCGCCCACGAAGAGGCGGCGGCTCCGGGCGAGGAGGGGGGAGCGGAGGTTCCACTCCAAGGATGTCGGCGAAGGATGGGAGCGACGAGAGGAAAGCCGCAGTTGGCCCAGGGTTAGACCAGAGGTCCAGTGGGGTCAGCGAGGTGGGATGCGAAGGGCAGTTGAAGAGGTGATGGGTGGTGTGGTCTATAGCGCCGCACTCAGGGCAGAGTGGGTTGTTGGCTGCAGATGCTAACGCTGCTTCTTTCGAGCCAGCTTCAGCGGGCTGGACATCTGAGACCTTCCGCCCCTTGTGGGTGATGAATAATTGAGACCTTCTACCTCTATGGTGATGTTCATCTTGACTTTCGGTGCGAGATAGCTAAATAGCTGAAGCGCTAGTAAACATTTGGCCACTAAACTAACTCTCGAACAGTGGCGCACGTCCTCCTACCGCTTACAAAAACTTAATTAAACGTGTTCGAGACCGCCACCGGTGGCCCAGTGGTTAAAGTTCAGAGTACCAGGATTGGCGCAGAGAGGCGCGGGTTCGATCCCAGCTCTGTGCGCCAGTTTCTGGTCAGAATCGGCAAGGAGGCCGGGCGGTTAAGCACAGCAGAATTTAAGAAGTGAGTTGCGAGTTTGAGACCGCAAAATACTGTGAATGTTCTGCGAAGTTAAGAATCGGCGACAGGCCTACGGCCTACTAAACGCTGAAACCGATATTATTATTATTATTTTTATTATTATACTATAGTATATACCAAGGCGACTGCAGCTTCGTGTGATACGTTGGCGGTTGCCATGCCTAAATCACTGGCAGTTGCCACGCCTAAATCACACCGCTTTCACGGAATTTTTTTTATTCTTTTTCGCTCTAGTCCCAACTTCCGAGAGATTAATTTTAAAAAGATTAATTTTAGAGATTAATTTATTAATTTTAAAAACAAAAATATCCTCGAGAGTCGATAGAGCGACAAGAGTTATAATCTCGGCCGCTGAAAATGTATCGAGTTGGACAGACGTCGCACCATGGATCAAGTTGAAAAGTATATTATAAGAAATACTAATGTATTAAATAAAAATTAATCTATCTAATCGTAAAATTAGTTAACTAAAATATTGACACTTGTTTGAGTTCAATTTGCACTATGATCGAAAATGTCAGCTAAAAATAAATTCCTCACTTTTCAGTTGAAGCAGGCGATAAACGCATGGCAGGGCATTATTAGTTTCCGCTATTATAGAGGCCGATGACAGAACCGATTCCTCATTACGCCCATGGCATGCAATAACGAAAGATATGAAACGAAGCGAAAAACAAAAACCGACAAGGAGAAACGTTAGTCGAATTAAAGTAGAACTTAGCTAAATAGAAAGTTTCAGAACTAAAGTTCAGAAGTGTGGTTAGTAATCCAATCGTAATTTTTAAAGCATATGCAACTCAACATTACATAAAAAGGAACGTTTCAATGTATAAAGTAAAATGGCGTAGACACCACCATGATAATAGGCATGACATCCGATGGTCAGGCCATCATTCTGTCATGTCATGTGATACAATTCTCCCGCTCAATATATGATCAAGGCTTTTAATGAGGCTCGAACATTTGCAGATGTTATAATGAGTCAGCGACAGCCTTGAGTATAAGGAGATGAAGGCATGAAGTGAAGCGTATGAACGAAGCCATGCGAGCACAGAGACGTCCGTATCACTAAGAGGCTTGCACCGAAGCACGTTACTTTATTGAGACATAATAATAACAAAAATTCCGCATTAAATACTACAAGCTACTTTCTGCTCAAGTTAAATAAACAATGGCATGCACAAAACCATAAGTAACACTAAAATAATTAGACTAATATAGAAATGTTTACGACCTGAAAATATAATTTTGCAAAATGAAACCCGGGCCTAATTTATTCTATCACTGGCATAGTTTATTCATGTTGTCTGTAATCAAACAACACGATGTACATTGAAACACCAAGATCAAATAAGCATGAATATTAGTTCATCCACCGCTATAGTTCAGAGAGCTCATCTCTGACTCACTGCATGCGTTTTAACAAAAATACAGCATATAAATTAAATGAGGAAGATTGATGACGTGAAAACTAACTTGTACATTATCAAATGACTGGATTGAATAAAAAAATGTATGCGTCAAAAATTTCTCCGTAAATGACAGACACAGAAATACAATCTCCGTCGAAACATAGCACATGAGGGAAATTATTAATATACTCGTAGATGCAAATGAAAATACAAAATTTGGGCCTATAGTCGGGCGTTTGTGCACGACTGATGATGATACTCAAGGGAGGCAGGTCCTTCCGTAGGTACTGTCTGTCCTTGTCATCTTCCGCATTCTTGATGAATAATTTTTTAGCTGAGCGAATGCGTTACGATCAAGAAGCTAGAGCTGAAAATGAAGTAGTCTAAAACTGGAGATAACTGCTATTGTAATGAATAATTTCAATCCTCAAATAGTTGATAGTTGCCGACACTTCTATTCTATTCTGCTCTCAATCGTAAATTATTAATCAAGAAAGTAGAAGATAACAAGAGCAAAAGCTGACGAGACGCACGTAGCTACAACACCATAGAAATAAAAAGCAAAGAAGTGACCCGAACAGAAACAGTGACACTTGTACACAAACTGGTTTACATGAGACGTCGCTCGCACGCACTGGGGATGAACTAGAACGCACCTAGCACGAGCTAGGAGGCCTGTGCTAAAGATCCAGTCGACAAACATTTTACGACGTGTGTGATATTTGGAGCTTCCAAAAAGCACAGACGATGAGAGCAGCACTTCTTCTTAGGTTAAATAAATCAGTTATCGTGAGACGATTGCTTATGTAATATTAAGGCTATCGACGTAATAAATAATTCTATTAAATTTTGGCCACATATCTGCATATAATGTTTCTGTAAAGATATATTAATACCTACATGATAGACGAAACGAATCTAGGGTTTGGTAAACCACTTCAGAAAATCACAGAATCTTTCCTTTTTTCAATATTTCAGATCAGTGAGCATATGCATCTCAAAAACTGCATGTAAAATAAACCGGAAAAAACAGCATATAAGATTGTCTAAAAGAAACTCAAACAATACATTTTTCCTAAGATAGACAGAAAATACTGGAGTTTCGAGCCACGCAGAGACCGAGATACTAACGAGTTCTCCACAGGAGTGTTTGTGGGTTTGTGGCCACGAGGCGTCATGTTCACGCTCACTTTTGCCACCACGAGACTACACCAGACGTCCATGCCATGGACATTGAAAACGCTATTCAATTAAGATAGCAACGAGCAGGAAATTCTAGTTAATATTAATTACTCATAGATAATTAAAGTCCAAATATCAGTTAGGACAAGATCGATTGAGAAGTGCAAGGTCGCGACATTAACATAAGAGATTAATTTTTCCATTTCTAGGCATTAATATCAAGGTCGCGATCTTACATATCAACACGGATTGCTGCACAAAATCTTCATTCGCTGCAAGACACAGCGTAGCAAATGGATATACTTACAACAGCTGAGAATGGAGCAAACGGGTAATCAGGAGAGCAGAGTAGACGGGTAATCAGGAGCAGAGTAGACAGGTAATCAGGGGCAGAGTAGACAGGTAATCAGGAGCAGAGTAGACAGGTAATCAGGAGCAGAGTAGACAGGTAATCAGGAGCAGANTGTAGGACATGTGTGATGGACCGTGTTCGCACGTGTAGGACATGTGTGATGGACCGTGTTCGCACGTGTAGGACATGTGTGATGGACCGTGTTCGCACGTGTAGGACATGTGTGATGGACCGTGTTCGCATGTGTAGGACATATGTGATGGACCGTGTTCGCACGTGTAGGACATGTGTGATGGACGCACACGCCCTACATCACGAACACTTTCTGAGCATCGCTGAGTTGGAATTTCGTTTCAGAGCGAGGACAGAAAACTTCACCGTTATTGGCGGCCGCCTGAGCCTCGAGAGCCTGCAAGGAGAAACACAAGTCAATTTGATCCCAGGCGAATATGTTAGATACAAATTCCGTAGACAAAGGTTTCACATTATTATCATGAGAAAAGAATATTTTAAATCAACTGAGCAGTATTTCAGCGCCATATAAGTACCCTTTATAGCCTTTAAGCAGCATGAGAGGCAGGTTGTTCTCGTTCATCAAGGAATGTAGCCAAGATAATTAAGTAAAAGAGCTCACGTTAGAGCCATAGACGTATCCGTTAGGCAGCATGAGAGGCAGGTTGTTCTCGTTCATTAATAAATGTAGCCAAGATAATTAAGTAAAAGAGCTCACGTTCGAGCCATAGACGTATCCATTAGGCAGCATGAGAGGCAAATTGTTCTCGTTCATGGTCTCGCCGCTGAGGAAGCAGACGAGGCGAGACTGCGAGCAGTGGGCGTAGGGCAGCTCCTTGGCGAGGCTGTTCAGTGTCGGCACGCACACCGGACAGTCGGGATTGAAGCTTTCCTTGTTCTGGACAACATCGAACACAATTAAATCTCGTCATGCTTACTTACTAGGAACGTTTATGCTAATATCACTGGATAAAAATGTAGCTGTAAGTCGAATTATGAAATGAAGCATTCACTTGAATTATGGGCATTTATGCAATGAAGCTTACTGATTGTTGCTTCCTTCTCTGTTAGAGCTTAGGAAAATATTTCTGCAGTATTGGTTTTGACGCGGGCGAATGGTAAATGCTTCTTATAATGCAAATTTGAACTTAACAAGACAAAGAAATGATATATAGAAAGTATCATAAAATTCAGGGTCATCTGCTAAAAACTCGACTCTAGTACGGTCGCAATAGCTCTTTTGCGCAACAAATTTAATATACTTGATAATTTTTGATATACTGACCCTTTTTTCATTGAGATCATCTTTGGAACAATTATTAACTTCACTACCAAACCCAGGAGATGATGTTTCTCAAATCAATTTGAGACGCTTAGTACTGAGCGTCATACAGTGATGAGATACCGTAATTTCCAATTGTGCTACAGTCTCCTTGTTCCTCTCACAAAACTTGCTCCGCTCACAAAACTCTCAACTCAAAAAACTTGCTCCTCTCACAAAACCTGCTTCTCTCACAAAACTTTCTAGTCCCACTCGACCTGGCCCTCCTACAATGCTCGTACCACCTACAAATTTTGTCCCACCCACGAAACCTGCTCCTCACATAGAAGTTACCCGTACTTCTTCCACAAATCTTGTTCCTCCCACGAAACTTGCTTTTCTCACAAGACCTGTTTCTCCCACACAGATTTCAGGCTCAGTAGGCAATGTTTTCTCCCAATTTCATCAATTTGTAGCACTTAAATTTAATAATGAAATAGATTGGTGGAATATGTGACGGATTTATAAGTTTTCTCCCAATCTCATCAAATTGTAGCGCTTAAATTTAATAATGAAATAGATTGGTTGGAATATCTGACGGATTTATAAGTTTTCTTCCAATCTCATCAAATTGTAGCGCTTAAATTTAATAATGAAATAGATTGGTGGAATATCTGACGGATTTATAAGTTTTCTTCCAATCTCATCAAATTGTAGCGCTTAAATTTAATAATGAAATAGATTGGTTGGAATATCTGACTGATTTATAAGTTTTCTTCTAATCTCATCAAATTGTAGTTCTTAAATTTAATAATGAAATAGATTTGTGGAATATGTGACGGATTTATAAGTTTTCTCCCAATTTCATCAATTTGTAGCACTTAAATTTAATAATGAAATAGATTGGTGGAATATCTGACGGATTTATAGCACTGAGGTGTCTTGAGGGCAGAAAGGCCGGCCTGCACGACGACGGTGAAGGTGGCCTGCAGGCTGAGGTGGTACAGACGCAGGTTCTCGTCTCTGAACTGCTGGATGAGATCCTGCCAGCGGCTGTCACTCAGCAGCACCTGGTACTCGGGGATCTCTGCAACCAGTCGCAACCATCAACTTATTTCTTAACAAAATAAAATTATGCTTACAATAAAACATACTTTGGCAGTGAGTGAGCTCAAAATACTTTTACGCGAGTATTCGTTGTATTCTTTACAACATTGGCAATATACCTATACCTTTCATACCCAAACGTCTCATCTTCTAATATTGCTTTATTTTCCATAGAAACGTCTATATTACCCAGGGCAATAATCATCCCCGTGATGGTTTAGGCAAATTTAAAAGCTATGTCTCAATTGAAATACAAAGGTGTTGGATATAATGTCTCATCGAATATAAATTGGTCACTTAATAGTGAGCTTCATAAGACAGAGGAGAGCAGCGAAACTCAGGTATAAGGTCGATGAAGTATGCAAGGTCTAAATGGTGATGCCTCTACCTCTTTTTCACGAAAATTTTGCCCTCATACATCATTATAATAATTTAGATCTGCTCTAAACTACTAGCACAATGAGAGGTATAATAGTAAACGTGTGATACTATTATACTACTAAATTTTGTCAGGTGTCACTAACTTGTATCACGTGTCACTAACCTATATCACGTGTCACTAACTTGTGTCACGTGTCACTAACTTGTGTCACGTGTCACTAACTTGTGTCACTTGTCACTAACCTATGTGTCACGTGTCACTAACTTGTGTCACGTGTCACTAACTTGTGTCACGTGTCACTAACCTGTGTCACTTGTCACTAACCCGTGTCACGTGTCACTAACCCGTGTCACGTGTCACTAACACGTGTCACTTGTCACTAACCCGTGTCACTTGTCACTAACTTGTGTCACGTGTCACTAACCCGTGTCACGTGTCACTTGTCACTAACCTGTGTCACGTATCACTAACTTGTGTCAGCAGGGAAGGCGAGCAGGGCCATGCACTGAGGTATGGAGGGCAGCTGCTTGCAGTCCTGGGCGCTGAAGTATTTACGCGCGTGCCTGCTCGCCAGGTGCACATAACACACGATTTATACCATTAATTACATTGAATTATCGTCGCATTAGAACACTACATGTACACACGATGTGTACCATCAAGTACATTGAAGTATCGTCGCATTAGAACCTTATATGCAAGCATGCGCTTCAACAGTAGGTATCCTAGTGCACTATGATTTTTTACATATATTGTTAATATTGTACAGTAATATAGCAAAGTGTCAAAAAAGTTTTGGAAACCTCGATAAACAATGGTTTTGTTTCATTTTATTTGCGATTAAAATCAATGTATTCATTGGCATCTCACTTCTAATTAAGCTGTACATACAAGTCTTAGTGTATCCATTATTATGTTATCGAAGAGGCAAGGAAATAACAAGTGTTGGTCAGCGTATCGCCCTTTTTAGCATCATATACTCGATATTTTCATTTATTTATAACAGTGCGCCTGCGCACTCTCCCCACACATCACCTGTTACTGAAATTTACCAATAAAATTAACGTTATTCCATCACAATGGCTTCTAATTAGTTGTAATGTAACCCATTAGCTTGGGGGATAAGCTATGCAGGATTTCCACAGTCATTACTATCACCTGCGCCGAGGAAAGCTGTGCAGAAATATTCCAGTAAAAAAGCGAACAATAAAAACAACAGAGGCACATAAGCAAATTCTATATCTCCCACCCAACAGATAATATATCAGTAAAGTTAATAGGTTTGTCTTACCATACAGCACTCATCCTCTCATTCCTCTTGATCATGTCTATAAACTCTTGTATTCTAATATTGAACTCGAGGCTCGAGTTAAGTTTTTTGAGTTTAGTTTTGTTCTCGTGGCACCAAGCGAGGCACTTGCTCACGTCGCGCCGCTCCAGCGACTGCTCCACTTCGTACGCGTTCTCAAACAGCCCCAGGTTCGTCAAACTCTTGATGTTGCGAAGCTCCACCAACTGCAACAATCATCAGAATTACAGTGAAAATCACTAAGGTTTTATGTTTCGTGTCATAAAATGATACAGGGTCTAATACAGACGAGTCAGGTAACCTCAAATAATGGTTAAAATTTTATAGTTTAATTCAAAGTAAATCAGCTGCAAAGTGGAAACATGCCACTTAAATTCTTTCAACACCGAGAACAAAACTGCCATCATACGCGATAAATGTAATATTTCGGTAAAAAAATTTATGTAAATTAATTCGGGGGCTCAGTCAATGCTGAGCCTTTCAATGTAGCGACAACAACAACATTGTTACCTTCTTGGCGGTGCGGTAGCAGCCTTCCCGCAGCAGGAAGTCTGTGATGAGTCTGTCTATGCGCGTGCTCTCCCAGGCTGCGCGCGCCGCGGCCGAGCCTTTGCCCGCCTGGTCGAGGTGCTCGATGCGCCTGCGCACAGCACGCGCGCACTCCACCTCCCCGGCCACCGCCTCACGCGCCTGCGCGATACATCACGTGGTCACGGCACGCATCACAACCTTACGTCATCACGTGGTCACGGCATGCATCACAACCTTACGTCATCACGGCACGCATCACAACCTTACGTCATCACGGCACACATCACAACCTTACGTCATCACGACACGCATCACAACCTTACGTCATCACGACACGCATCACAACCTTACGTCATCACGTGGTCACGGCACACATCACTACCTTACGTCATCACGACACGCATCACAACCTTACGTCATCACGGCACACATCACAACCTTACGTCATCACGACACGCATCACAACCTTACGTCATCACGACACGCATCACTACCTTACGTCATCACGGCACGCATCACTACCTTACGTCATCACGGCACGCATCATAGCCTTACGTCATCACGGTATAATTATTACTTCATAAACATTACTAAAATAAATTTCAAGTTGCACATGATTCAGAAGAATAGAATGTTACATAATCTCATTCTTATTGTAATTTTACTATAATACAGCCTAGAATATTCAATGGCATCTTTTTTAACCAAATATAGTTCAGCCAAAAATTTCCAAAAATATTATACTTACCAATCATGTACGCAATAGAAGGAAAAATAGAATCAAATTTTCTATGTGATTGGAATCTTATCAAACCACGCAATGCAAAGTTCATTTTATCATATGGCATGAGCTTCTTACAACATGAATCAATAAATTACACAATAAAAAAATGCCTTGGCTCTTAAACATTTAATGTAGGTATAATTATATAATATAACCCGGAATAGATAATAAACGTCGGAGCTGCAAGGTCCAAACTTGAGGTGACTAACCTTCCTCTTGAGGCTTGAGACTTGTGACATGACACCTCTTATCATCTGCGTGAGCTGCTGAGGGCGAGGCATGGGTGACCCTGACAGGGCGGCCTGCATCTCAGAAGTGCATGCGGCCACTGCAGACACCTCTCGCTCCAGTACCTTCTGAGCAGTGCGGAACTTGCGGTTCAGCACTTCATACGGTACCTGTAAGTAGTGCATTGTTTAGACTGAGTGTATAAATTATGTGATTCTATTTGCAACTTGCAATTCAATACTTCTTGGTATATCTGAAAGTTGCCGAATTTTGCATAAACAATGTCACAATCATGTCACTCGGTTAATAACTTTAACACAGAGATTGCTGGAATTACGTATAAATTGAACACTATTAATAAGAAAATTTTCATTATAAAATTGACAATTGGAGTAAGCTAACCTTAATAGTTGAGTGCTCCAGAGCTGCCATACATCGGTTGATCTGGCTGCTGCCATCAACCTCTGCTGTATGTTGGGAACTTGTATCATTCTCGGATATTTGGGAGTTTGTGCCAAAGATATTGTGGCTCCCCATCATAGACTGTAAACATAGCATCAGTGTGTATTGAATGGGCTTTATAATGTTACAGTAATATGCTAAAAGTCAAAGACAATCAATATAATCAAATATGTCTCAAATAATGTTAACCTGAGGTTTAATTTGAAGTTTAGATACATTATAGGCTAAAGCAGTACTGCTATTGTGGCAGAATTTTGAAGAAGGTATTTCAAAACCTGTCAAAAGCAAAGATAAGCAACTCAATTTGTTTGAAGACTGTATAGAAAAATGAAGTAATATTTAAATTGTTCTTTCAATTTTATCAGATAAATTTTACTTTCACAATTAATTTCTAATAATTCTAGAATTGTATATACTTCCTGGAAAACTCTAATTTTTAAAATAAAAATTACATCATTTTATTCAAGAATAAAAGCCAAATCAATGGCATTAACAAAGAGCATACAAAACAATATGATAAAAATGGCCAAAAAACCAATACCATCTGCACCAGCAATGCTAGCCAAGCTCCCAATTAAACCTAGTATAAAAAATATTGTTTTTTGCTGCTTCTCTTAATGCTCAAGTCTCAAGGATAATATAGAAACATAAGTGGAACAATGGCTTACAAAGGCAATACTATCTAACTCACCAAATTTTCAGAAACAGGAACAAATCCATCCATAACTAATGAGGCTTCATTTAGCACTCAGATGGAATCTGTATGAAAACCTGGGAAGGACAACAAAAATTTATTGGCATACTTAATATACTTAATAACTTAATATTGCCATATAGGTACTTAATTTATTGCCATATACTTAATTTGTAGTTTCAGGATTGCTTTTAAAATAAATAATTTCAATTGAATGCCAGGGCCAGACTGCCAGCCTCTTAAGTGGTGACTGCTGTTGAAACTCAACTATCTTTGACACATCAATTATTTTCCCACTACTGTTTCTGGCAAAGAAACTTTCAACGGAATATGGATTATGGTTATAGAAATTAAACAACTGATTCAGTTGAGTGATGAGTCACAAAGTGGTTGATTCAACCAGTTAGTGGTTGATTCAACCAATCTCTTGCTGCATGGAGCTTCTGCATAACTACGTAAAGATGCAAACAGCCTTCAAAAATGTCATTCAGAATTTTATTCACAGAGTAATTTGAACATTATATACATTGATTCAGCATAGAAAAATACTACTCCAGGAATAGCTTAGGTATTCATTTAAGCATTACCATCTATAATATTCTCTTTCCAAAAATATTCTGTCAAGCAAATTAGTTTTTTTTAGCATATACTATGATAATGATTATGGGTAGTAGACAGATTCATTACACATTGCGATCATAATTATTATAAATTTACCATCACTTCCTTATGCACAATTCTCATCATTTCCTTGTTCATAAAGACTAGATTTTAATCGAATTCACTCAGCCTCCATTATTCACACATTCTTCTGTGCACCTAATTAACACATTCTATGTTATTCCTTCACTCACACATTCTCTGCTATTCCCCGACTCACATTCCCCGCTATTCTCTGACTCACATATTCATCAAATATTCTCTGTTATTAATTAACCCACATATTCTCTGCTATTCTTTTACTCCCATATTTTCCATTATTCCTTTACTTGGGAATTCCCCATTATACCTTTACTCACATATTCTTTTGGTCTTTTCATAAATATTTTGCACTTCTTCCTGTCAATTTCAATACTATACTATTACAAACCAGGTCATATTATTTAAATTTCAACGAATGATGTCAATTTGGCAGTCCCTATAATTCATTATTCCCTTCACAATTAAATGGTCAATACTCCATAATTGAAGAAAAAAAACACCACCAACAGTTACATGCACGCACATGGGAGTATTGGAGAACGTTTTTATACACAGAGAACATATAATGGCATTGGAGAATGTCTTTAAAATAGAAGGCAATGAAAACTCAGGTAGTTCCATATTCTGTTGGCTGAAGGAAAGAAGGAGTGTTGGCGGACATTGGTTCTGCTGCATGGGACCTGCAGCTTCTGTTGGTGCCCCCTTGTTGTGCATGTGACTGGTTGACACAATCCTGAAGGAGGTTGGACATCGACTGGGCGATGCAGAATTTTGTACAGCATGCATGCTTTGTCTGCCATTCTCCTCAGACGGAGCTTTTCCAGCTGAAGTCTGGCTACCATCTCAGTGGCACTGGATGTGGGGCTTAAGTCTCCCAGGAATCTGCGGGCAGCTCTGCATTGTACCATCTCATGGGAGGTTTTCACTAAGCTAATTAACCGAATGGGAAAATTAGGGTTGTTGTTCTAGTATTCAATGTAATGGAGTTGGAATGGAATGATATATTTATATAAAATTCAATAAAATGGTGTTCATCTTTTTGCACATGCAATAATATTTCAATGTGCGACTAGAGCATTCCCGCCATTCTTGGAACCACGAGATTACTACCTCTTGACGAAATAACTCCTATCAAAAATTTAACATTCAACAAAAGTGCTTAGTGCAGTCACTGCGGTGAGTGCATGAGAGTGATGGTTCACGATTGCTCACTGATCACTGAATATTGATGATATGGCCTTTGACAAATGAGGTTGTTGAACCAAGCTCTGCGATACAAGCTCCTGCGTATCAGTTAGTTGCTTTAAAAAAATTGTGAGTTACCTATGAGTACAAGCTATGACACCTTGAGTGAAATTTTATCCCTAGTTATACAGACTGCTCCAATTGATTCGTTGCTCCACTTCCTTTTGTAGATTTTTCCAAAAATGCAATGTAAGTGAAAGATTTGAAAGAGTTAAAGACTTTTCTAAGCAATATTCAGAATAACTTATCTTGCAATGTACCATCAAACGGGGTAAAAAGGGACGGGCGGGGTAAATAGGGATGCGCGTCCCACATTTCGTAGAAATGTTGTAGCAGCTAAACTAATCAAAATATTGCAAAACTAAAAATAGTGGCGTAAACTTCAACATTTATACTATCTATTATGTATAAAGCTAGTCAAGAAATCAAACATTTACTATCTCTAAAAAAATCACTGAAAAAAAAAAGTGTAAAAAGTGCGATTTTGGAAAAGTACCTCTGCTAAGGTCTGGAGCAAAAAAAATATTCGCTGTATTAAAAAATTGTACTTACATAAAAGTTGCACCCAGGTGTCAGCTTGAAAACGTAATTGATAGAATTTGCCTATCTCATTCCAAAAAAATGGCAGCCATTTCCGCGCGACAGGGTAAAAAGGGACACCCCCCAGGGTAATTAGGGACACCCTTAAAAATGCATTTACAGTAGAACCTCAGTTATCAAAGGCTCCAGTTAACAAAAAATTGATTAACAACAAAGAATTTTGATTACATTTACCTTGCTCAGCAAAAAAAATTCACTTATCAAAAAATTAGTGCATCATCAGTCATCACAAAATTGTACATAGAATGCTATATATAGAATTGGGCACCGGACATCATAGAATGAAAAGTAATTGACCTAAACTATGATTTATTTCTTCAAAACATAAGATGGTTGTCACTAAAACATTTTCTGTTTCGGGTACGTTTTTCACAATCTTTTTTGTTATAGTGAAATCACTAGACTCAGTTAAAATTGTGTGAAATTACAAACCATCATGTAAGCTTACAGATACAGAAGAAATGCTACATGGCTGCTGATACAAAGCTTGCAGTGGACAAGGTCGTTGTCAAAGCTCAATGGCATGTCCATGGATACAGTAATATCACATTACGGTAATTAATGAAAATTGGAATATCATATCAATAAAGGAAAAACAAGTAAAAATCACAGATAATGTCCTGTATTTTACATCTACATCATCTACAATGAAAGAGGACTTCAGAGTACTGTTAGTAATGGATGAGTAAACTCTGCATGCTTCAAACATTTAAAAATTAACTTTTATTGCAAGTGTCCTGGATTACCCTGTTCCCAGGGGTAAATTGGGACAGTTTTATTTTGCGACTGGCACCTTACAAATAGCATATGGAATTTTTTTGAAGATGTCATTTGATAGCCCTCGCAAAGAGCTATATAATGAGCCTAAACTTGTTTCTGAAATGTTTCATGGTAAGAAGTTATTAACAAAAAACGCTCAAAACCGTCGCTTTTTACCCTGTTTGACGGTAGCAATAACTATGAATGTTGCAATGACAAGTCTGAATAAAAAACTATTTTGAAGGTTTGATAGTTTAATTCTAAATATAAGCCATGAAAACAAATATAATTTTTCCCATTTTCTAGGAATTTAAAAGCAGAGAAAATACCACAAAAATTCATCATATCTTTATAAGAGAAAACGTTTTGGAGTCCAGCTCTATTGTCAGTTCATAATACAAAATTCTGTTCAGAAAAAGTTCAGTCCTAGAAACAGAAACAAATCAATTAGTAAAGTAAAATGCACTGTCAGGTTTCAAAATGGAAAATAAATAAATAAGACATCAAATTAAAGCTAGTAAACAGCCTATCTATTTACTATTTCAAGAGGAAAAGAGCTAAAAGCGGCATTCAGACTAGGCTTCTGCTTGAATATATACAGGGATTCTAAAATTCATAGATCACTAACACCGGATACAGAAGCTAGAATTTTGAAATCACTACCAGATACAGAGGTGTTGCACTGCTCGGCATGAACACGTACAGCAGAATGAGGTGGATGTGCAAGTAGGTTCCTCGTTCTATAACTCCTGCCCTTATGCTCAGCCAGCCTAGTATAGAAATTGCATGCTGTCATACCGACTTACACTGATGCGCATTGCGCACAACTATATCTGTAAACTAGTGACGATCGCATAAGAACAGATAGGGTATCCTCATACCTGAAAAACAAGCCAATTCTATAATTGTTAACAAGCAACACATGAAGATTTACATCCAGAAGATATTTAGCAAATAAAACTTTTAATTCCTTTGACATAGTCTCAGATGTGGGTCCAAAGTAAGGAGAAGAACAGTAAACAACCTTCCTACTGTCACACTTGGGAACGACTGCAGTATATTGCTTGGACATCAACTTTTTAATTTGGGTGAGCACCAGGTGTGATGGAAAGCCATTTTGAGAAAAGATATTGCGCAACAATTCAAATTCAGAGTGCATGGCTAGGAAAGTAGAACAAATGCAAAAGCCGCAGTTTATCAATGTTTAGACCCCATTTAACTTGAAACAAAAGGAGCAGAAGCTAAAAAAGCTTGAGCTTAAGCCGGTAAATGTCAATTTTCTAAAAACAGAAGTTTGGAAACGGCAATTAGATTTGGTAACTTTGCAATCAAGGAGAGACAAGCTATTGTCTGATTCCAGCTCCATGGTGAATATGATAGAATTATGTTGGAGATTAAGATAGTCAAAGAAAAGGCCCACATGAGAGGGATGCTTAAATATCAAAAAGGTATTGTCAACATATTGGTTATAGAAAATTGGCTTAAAATCAAGAGGACAATTGGCCAACCATGTAGCCTCGTGAAAACACATGAATATATTGGCAAAGGTAGGGCCGAGTGGAAGTCCCGTGCCCAAGCCGTTAATTTGCCTGTAAAACTTGCCAGCAAATATGAAAAATGAGTTTAGCACAGATAACTCAAGAAAAGATTTGAAAAAATTGCAGTTAAAACCCATGACAAGGTCATTGACATCTTTAAACAATTAATTGAGACAAATATTGATGGTTTCAGAAAGAGGTACCATAAAATGGGGTTACTTTGACTCCCGG